CCATTTGCCAACAATTAGCCCATATTCCTCTAAACCTTTCCTACTCATATACCCATCCAAATGCCTTTTAAATATTGTAATCGTACCAGCCTCCGCCACTTTATCTGGCAGCTCATTCCATATACACACCACCCTCTGTATGAAAAAGCTGCTCCATAGGTCCTTTTTATATCTTTCCCCTCTCACCTTAAACCTGTGCCCTCTAGTTTTGGGCCCTCCCACCCCGGGGAAAATACGTTGCCTATCTACCCTATCCCTGTCCCTCATGATTTTATAAACCTCTGTAAGGTTACCCCTTCAGCCTCCAATGCTCTAGGGAAAATAACCCCAGCCTAATTCAGCCTATCCTTATAGCTCGAACCGTCCAATCCTGGCAACAACCTTGTAAATCTTTTCTAAACCCTTTCTAATTTCACAACATCCTTCCTATAGAAGACAGACCAGAATTGCATGCAAAACTCCAAAAGTGGCCTAACCAATGCCCTGAACAGCTGCAACATGACCTCCCAACTCCTATACTCAATACCTTGGCCAATAAATGCAAGCCTTTATAAACACCTTATTCATTATCTTATCTACCTGCGTCTCCACTTTCAAGGAACTCTGAACCTGCACTCCAAGTCACTTGCCAAGTCAGGATGGTGAGTGGCTTGGAGGGGAATTCAGGTGGTGTTCCTATCTGCTTCTATATGGAAGTGGTTGTGAGTTTGGAAGGTGCTGTCTAAGGTGAATTTCTGCAGAGCATCTGTGGATGGTACCCACTGCTACTGAGCATCATGAGAAGGCTCAGTCATATATTGTCTTGCTGATGATTCTTCAATGCTTCCAGTGTAAAGGATAATGCTGCACTGGGTTGAATCGCTCATGAGTAGTCCTATGTGGTATCACTTGTTATAGTTAAACATTGACATGTAAGGGATAATGGCCGAACAAATACAACAAATAATGTTGATGCCACCAAATTTGGCAGGGACAGGCAAGATGTGGGGGGGTGGGGGGGCTCAACTGAAAGGATCTGAAACAAAAATGTGCTTTACCTGCTGCAGCCCCAACAACACTCAAGGAGCTTGACGCCATCCAGGACAAAGCAGCTGCTTGATTGGCGCTACATCTACAAACATCCACCCCCTCCACAACTGACAAGATGTACTGCAGAAATTTACCAAAGATCCTCAGACAGCACCTTCCAAACCACGACCACTTCCATCCAGAAGGACACGGGCAGCAGATACACGGGAACACCACCACCTTCAAGTTTCCCTCCAAGCCACTCACCATCCTGACTTGGAAATATATCACCGTTCCTTCACTATCGCTGGGTCCAAATCCTGGAATTGTCTCCCTAATGGCATTGTTGGTTAACCCACAGCAGGTGGACTGCAACGGTTCAACAAGGCAGCTCACCACCATGTTCTCAAGGGCAACTAGGGATGGGCAATGAATGCTGGCCCAGCCAGCGATACCCACATCCCACAAAATGAATAAATTTTTTTAAAAATTCACAAAAGGGTGGACTGGCCAGAACTGGACTGGTAAAGAATGGAGCATAAAAGACATAGTAGTCTGAGGAGCTGACATGGCCCTGGACTTAGAAGGAGCAAACTGGGATGCCATACGGAGAGTCACAGTCATAGGGACGAGGAAAGGTGGAAACTGCATACTTGAGGTGGGAAAAGAGAGAGGTGATAATGCGTCCTGAGGGAGGGGAGGACGAGAATGTGAATTGAACAATGTGGGGATGTGGAGTGTAAGGATGAGGCTAAGCATTGGGGTTCTGGATGGGAGTGGGGTCAGGGAAATGAGCAGGAATATCAAGGCAGATACTAAAGGACTGATAGTCATGGGCAGAGATAGAGGACAAACAGAGGAGACGCCAGAGGAAAGGAGAGGGCTGTCTAATGTTAGGAATGGAAAGAGTAATGTGGCAGGGGAGGATAGAGGGTGCAAGAGTTGAAAGGATAGTTTAGAAGCACCATCTTGCTTAAGTGAAAGACTCTTAGAGAATGTGCACATGGGAAGAGTCCATGTGATCCTGCGCAGCGCAAACTAAGGCAATTGAAACAGAAACTGAAAAAAAACTATTGCGCGAGCATTCAGGTAAGGGCTTTGCAATGAAGAAAAGCATGTCTGCAGAATAAAAATGAATAAGCCATTTCAGCTGCAAGCAACAACATTACAATCATGTCCCATCATTCATTAACCCTTGATGAGAAGAGGACCTAATAATTAGCGACAATGCTAATGGTGCTGGGGAGTTGTTCCATATTCAATTGCGCAGGAGCAATCACAGGCCCACGTGTATGACATGGGGCTGAGACTGGCTCATGGATTAAGCTGGCTATAGATTCCAAGGTTGTAGGACTGCATTGCGGGAAATAATGAAGGCCACCAAGTATCAGATTGAGCAGATTACCACGTGAATGGAAAGCACTGTAAAGATAAAGACCGCAAAAGTAACTTTCAGCATCAGGAAGGGGAAAACCCATCCTAGGTCATGGGGAATGCACCTCACTGTGTATTGGTGGCTTTTGGGACAGGCTTTTACTCAAGCCTGAGCAGCCTGACAATGGTCCAAGGGGTAGATTGATTATGTCAAGTTCTCAAATGGAAAACATTCACCTTATTCCTGATATTTGTTCACACATCAGTACTTCCATGTCAGGTGTTTAATCTATTTAACTCTGTTACTGTGTTACTTTCTTGCAGAGTTTGCTTTGTAAAGGTTGAGACAAATAAGAGGGAGGATGTTGGATGTGGATTGCAAACAGTGCTTTGAAGATTTCTTTATCGGAGTGTCTTAATGTTGCCTGAAGCTGACATTTGATGTTGAGTCTGGTTCCTTCTCGGCTTTGATATTTATCAGACGAAGGTGGCGGGGTAATCTTTCACAACCATTTAAGGCCATCAGACAGAACCGTGATTCCAGCTCCTGCATTCAATTTAAAGTGTATGTGATACTCACAATCTGATATTGACTATCATTATCTGTAAAATCCTTGAGATAAATAATTTCCTGCAAAAGGCTGCCTTTAAAGGCAGTTTCCTTGTGTTTTTTGAGTACGGCCTTCTTTGCGAACACAACCAATGTTATTGAAACCCTGGCTTTTGATGGTGTGGATGAGACCTTTCTCCCAGTTGTGAACCTTTGCACCATTGCAGAGAGATTGCAAAATGGTGGTGATCTCCTTCTCCTTTCCTGTTGCTGCTGTGGCGTGCTTTTGGTTCTGAACCTCCCACAGTGAATGGCTTGAAAGGGTTTACACCCAGTCCAGCCCTGTTCAACCAGTCGGCAGCCCCCTACATTCTGGAAAATTCTAAGGTGAGGTGGGTTGGAATTCATAGCTCACCTGAGTCAAAGTTCATGTCTTTTCCAGTGCTGGGTGCATTAGTGAACGGCATGAAGACTGGGTTGGCTTTAAGTTTTTCTGTAATACCGGACTTCTCTTTGGGCTCAACCCTTCTGTCACAAAACACTACATTTCAATCAGTTAATTACTTTCTTTTGTTTTTGTCAGCAGTTTTTCTTTACTTGCCTAATTATCACATTGATGTGTGTCAGGTGTGGCTCAGGTGCCTCTAAGCCTTAAGGCTCTTGTCATATCCTATTGAACAGAAAATAAGTCAAGGCTGACAGTGCAGTGCAGTACTGAGGGAGTGCTGGATTGTTGGAGGTGCTGCCTCTTGATGAGATGTTAAACTGAAGCCCTGTCTTCCCCCTTGAGTGGATTACAAAGCTCCAATTGTATCATTTTGAAGACAAGCTGTTAGTCTGTCCACCACTATCACTATAACTAATCAGTCATTATCATGTTGTTTATGGGCGATCTCTGCGCGCATCACAGCAGTAACTGACTGCACTTCAAAAGAACTTCATGTGTTATAAAGAGCTTTGAGATATCTGGTTGTCTTGAAGATTACCACATAAATAAGGGTATTTTCTTTCTATAACTAATTTGCAAAACATTAAATTGGATGTTTCTCTTAAATGATGCTGACACAGATATCATTTTTCTTAACATTGAAGTAAAATCAAAACCCTACCTGTTGTTTTGTCATTATTCCAATCTCCCCAAAATTTATCTATTCCCTCATAAATAATTGAGGTTAGGGGAACAGTTATTAGTTCTACATAACTCTTGTTGGGTTATATAATTAATGGGCTATCCAAATTGGTGACCATTACAGACAAAAACAGCACCTGTAAATGACAAGTCGATGTATCTGACTTGCTCGAAGTGCAGCAGCTGCTGATTACAGGATATATTGTTGCCATGGAAGCTGAATTTGTAGCAGGTTTGATTGTTTTTCTTCTTTGACCGTTCGCAAGCCTGCTGTAACTGAACACTTCTTCATTTGGACATCTTTTTAGCAATGGAGATTACTTGAAAATGGATGGAGGTGATTTGGTATGTATTTTTATAGGACTTTTATTGGTGTTTAATTATTAAGTATAGAACATATTAGTTTTGTTGCATAACATCATATAACTTAATCAAACAGTTGGATTTCAGCTCACATTAGTTGCTAGGAACATGTTACCTGTGCATTTTTAACTTGAAAGCATTCAGAAAAGTTTATAGTTAGTAATAAAAAAGCTTAATTTTTCAACCATTTAAGTTCTCATTTGACACTTCACTTGCATGGCATACAATGAACAGAACAACATCCCACACATTTTTTCTCTGAATTATTATTTAAAGTTTCCATTGTGGGTGAAAAGATTTTGTGATGAAATTTGTTTTCTTAAATAACAATTTTAATTTTCCTAGGAATGGTTATTATTCCTACAATCAGAAAATCTAGCTGTTTAGCAAAGAAGAATTGCATATCACAGAAGTCTTAACTTAATTGTTTTGATAAAAGTGGAGGTACTTTAATACAAACCCTAGAGTCTCTGCTTCTGGCCTTAGGCAGCTTGAGTTCAAGTCCCAACTGCTCCAGAAGTGTGTCTTAACAGCTGTGAATGGGTTGATTAGAAAAGCATCTATTTGAGGGAATATATGGCGGTAATGTCCCTACCTCTAAGCCAGGTTACATGGGTTCAAGTGCCACCTGCCCCAGAGGTGTGTAATAATGTCTCTTAATAGATTTAGAAATTATATAAATGTTTCCACATTGTATGGAGTCTATGGAGAGTCATTCATGGCAATAAGCAGATAGTGCATATAACTGACCAAACTTGGTTCTTTGTCTGAGGCTGCAGTAATTGGGGTTTGCAATGCAGAGTGATGCCAACAGTATGGGTTCTGAAGAAGGGTCTGGGCCCGAAACGTCAGCTTTCCTGCTCCTCTGATGCTGCTGGGCCTGCTGTGTTCATCCGGCTCTACACCTTGTTATCTCAGTATGGGTTCATTTCCTGCTCTGGCTGAGGTTACAATAAAGGACTGTCCTTCTCAACCACTCCCCTCACACGAGGCATGGTGAACCTCAGGTTAAAACCACTACCGGTTGTCTCTCACTAATGACAGAGCAGTTCATGGTCCTCTGGGATGATGATGACTTTACCTTAAGGGGTTTAATTAGCTCAGTTGACTGGGCAGCTAGCTTGTGATGCAAAGTGATGCCAGTGGGAATGGGCTCAATTCTTGCAATGGCTGAGGTTACTATGAATGGCATTCCTTCTCTACCTCTCCCCTCAACTGAGGTGCAGTGACCCTCAGGTTAAACTTCACCAGTCATCTCTCTTCAACGAAACTATGTCTATTATCTTATCAACTATTTTGCACATCAAATGATGTTTATGTGACTTGCGATAGTAATTTCACAATAAGTAACATTCTCACTTCAGAGTCTGAAACATGTGGGTTTAGCTTTCACTCAAGCTTTGAACATAAGATTCAGGTTGGTACTTCAGTGCAGTTAAAAGGGAATGCTACCCAGAGAGAGGTGTTGTCTTTCAGATGAGACATTAAACTGAGGTGCATAATACTAGGGAAGATGAGCTTTATTCTGGAACTATTCTCAAAAACAGACGGGATCCAATGAAAGAAGGCATTTGGGAACATTCCCTCTTTTTAAAATGATCACATGAGGACAAGTCACTATTCAGAGTCTGGGAACCCAAGTACATACTTTCAAACTATCATCATGGAACATGGTGCACACCTTACATCAACAGATGCTGTGTTGCTAGGGGCTTAGTCACAATCAATGTGTGGAAAATGAACATTGGTAGTTTGTTACCCATCGCGGAGTGTTCTACAATTACAGTTACTAGTTTTTATATCACTTACGTGGATATGTTAGACAGACTTAAGGATTCAAAGCCAATAATTTATTTGACACAAGTGATATTTATCTAAAAGTGTTGAAAGCATAAATGAGAGATATGATGACTGCAGATAAGATCCCATTTACTTAGAATTACCAATGCCGGTCAATAAATGTAACATAATATCATTCTCAGAAATTATAGGCCCATTAG